GTTCAAGTGAAATCTGGTTGAAATGAGCACAGAGCAGTCCTGGAGGGATAAGATGTAAGGAAAGCAGGAAGGGCTTGCCAGTACAGCTCAGTGAATTGTACCTGTGGATGGGAGACACAAGCCTGCTCCACCAGCAGCAGGTGGAGGTCCCACCTTCACGCTCTTTAGCCCCTGTCACAGGCCCAGCATTCTTGCTCCATCTTCAACACCCATCCACCTCTCAGACTCACCCCTACCCTCAGCCCTTACCTATCTAAAGATGTCCACACCGAGAACAACTGAAAAGGTAGGCAGACTTGGTCATGACTGTTTGCCAAACTTTCATTATTTTTTATTACACATTCATTGTAGAATAATCAGAAAATACAAATAAACAAAACAAAAAAACTTAATTAGCCATAATTTTGCCACCTGGAGATAAACACTACCAGATTTTTTCCCACATACATATAAATTCATTTTTTGACAAGTAGGCTCATGCTGTACAAATTATTTTGTAATTTGTTCTTTTTTTACTCAACAATATGTTGTGAACATCTTCCCATATCAATAAATATATATCTACATCATCTTAACAGCTGCATGGTTTTCCACTGTATGTAATAACTTAACCAAGCCCCATTGTTTGGACCATTCTATTTCCTCTGTCTGTCATACAGTTGCCCCAGGCTGACACAGCTCTAGGCCTCCACTATTACCCCCAGGCTCCTGGCCTGGCTCAGGCCCCATCAATGTGGCACCTCCTTTTCTGCTTCCCCAGTCTGAGGGCCTCAACATCCAAAGCTTGAGGCCAATATCTAGACTGACTTCTGGACTAGACAGCTGAAGGCTGTAGGCCACAAGGAGAGGATGCCTGGGCACCCCTCCACAGGCCTTCCAGCCAAGCCATACCCTGCTTTAAAGCAAGGTGGGGACAAGATGACCTCCCACCCACTGTGCCTCACCCCTGAGTCAGAATGTGCCAGGATACCCTCCTCCCTACAGAGCCCAAATGCCTCCTGGGGCGGACCAATACCACACCTGGCCTCCACCCACACACCAGGTGCCCAGTGTTTTCCAAATTTGCCAGCCTCTAATTCAAGCCACTTGCCTGCTGTTCACTGGCTCCGTTTGTGGCCCTGCCCCTCTCCCAGTCCTGGCACAGCATAGTGGTTGGCAAGCATGGGTGGGATGAAGAGAATGTGGATCTCTGGTGGTCCGCTTGGTGACCAGTCTATTCATGCCTGTGACCCATCCCGAGGAAGGCAGCTAGGCTCTGGTGGCCACTAGATGGCAGTACTCAGCTGCCCAGGGCCGAATGGCTGCAGGGCCACCCAGTTTCGAGGCAGAGAGAAAGCTGGTTGGTCTCACAGCTACAGGCAGGCTTTTTAAAACCGAATTTGTAGCACCCAGCAGGGTCACTCCCTTTATTTTCTGGAGTTGCTTCCGACTGCTTTGGCAGTGCCTTCTGGGGGAGCACGAGGCTGTGGCTATTCAATAGCTCTTTGAGCTTGGACAACTTTAGGAACTTTCTGTGGGACTCCAGTTCCATATCTGTAACATGGGAATTCACCATACTTACTTCCAATGTAGCTGTGAGGATAAAATCAGCGTAAGTCAGACACAACAGTTGCTCAACAAGTTGTAGTTTCCATTTAATAACACCTATGAGGTAGGTGCTTTACCTATTTACATGTTAGCACAGTTAGCTGGTAGCATGGACAGGATGCAGGGGGCAGCAGCCAGTGAAGAGAGGTTGGAGTCAACCCCATTTGTCCCCAGACCACTGGCTGGGGCTTTGGGTCTCCCAGGGACATGTGTGAGTCATCTCTGACTGCCTCAGATGAGACTTGGAGTAGAAGCTGATTCTCAGTCTGCTTTCCAGCCTCCCTGACTCCCCCTGTGGGTTCTGCCCCTCCATCCATGCTCTTCCCCAACCCCAGACTTGAGGCCCACAACTCCACTGGTTGGAGAAGCTCTCACAGGTGTGTCAGCCTCTCCTGTGATTGTGGGTCTCTTCTGCACCTCAGCCTGAGGCTTCTCAGGGAGAGGAACCCCCACAGATGGGACTTCCTGATGCTGGGATGCTCAGAATGGGATCTCCCAGAGGGCAGGGGCTGTCTCCCCTTCAGACAGGGCTGTCCTCCCCTTGCATGCGAGCTTCCTGATGCAAGAGCCCATGGTTCACTGTCACATGGGAGCTCCCTGAGGGCAGGGGCTGTCTCCCCTTCAGCTGTAGGAGGGTAGCCAAGGCCAGTATTAGTTCCTTCCCCCATCCTCAGCCTGTGCCAAGCCAGGCTCTGCTTGTGACAAGTGCCCAACTCCAGAGGCTGCAGGAGGGTCCCTGGCTGAAATGCCAGGCTTTTTCCGCTTCCTCTTCCCTGGCCCCATCTCAGCACATCACTGGAGTGTCAGCTCACTCACCTTCACAGACCCAGAGGCCAGGCTGTAGCTTTGGAGTTAATAAGCTCAGGCCCTTTCTTTCCTCCCCACCTCTGCCCCATCCAGGGCCCGCTGCAGCTTGCCCCCCACCTCCCAGCCTCTAACCCTGAGACTGGCTTTTTAATTGCTTCCCCGAGTCTGTGTTCTGCTTACTCTCCCCTCCTCTCCTGCCTGAGTTCCTCTGGGAGGGCGAGAGGTGGGGACCAGAAGTGTCCCTGAGAGGAGGAGAGGGCTGGCAGGCAGCCTGTTATTTCCAACCCAGTGGTCCTCCAAATGGACAGGATGAGCCAGGGAACAGGGGTGGGAGGGCTGAGGGTGAGCTGCAGGGAGCCCTAGGGGCTCAACTGGAAAACACAGCCACCGTCTTCATGCCCCTGGGCTCCTGGGCGTAACTGGTCCCTTCCTCCCCACCCACAACCTCCATCCCGAGCTCTCCTGGGTCCCTCTTCAGGGAAGAACCATGGAGGAGGAAAAGATAGATTCTGTCTGGGAACCAGGATTCCCCAAATGTAGCCAAGAGACAAAGGGATATTCAGGGGACAGAAAAACAGGGGTCTGGGAGGAGGATTCCTGAGTCAGCAGCCACCAAAGAGGCTCTCTGCATACTGACAATGTGCGGCCAAGCTGATGGCTGGGGGAGAGAGACCCATAGGAGAAAGCCCTGTCCCCTGCCCTTGACAGGTCCCAAACACTGTTGGAGGTTTTGATTTACACTCAGGTGAGAGGGACGGGTTCCATCTTGACTTCCTGTGCAAAGGGACTATGTCTTGTTCTCTGTGTCTGCAGCTCCTGACACTGAGCCTGGGACTCTGACCTAGTCAGGAATTTGTACCCTAGGGTAGGGTCCAGACATGAGCTGCAGGCCCTGGGGTAAGAAGATGGGTGTAAAGCATCTGAGAAGAAAACACTTCTAAACTCTTACATGTGAGGGGCTCCATGCAAGCTACTGAGGTGGACGAGGCAGGGAGAACAGGATGAGGGGCCTTAGATCAGGCTGGCCCAAGTGGATGGGGGAGCCATGGATAGCCATGTCTCGAGGATGAGTCTCTTTATGTAAGAACAAGCCAATCTCAGAGCCTCATTGCCACCCACGGAGGTCAGCTGGGAGCAGACTGTCAGCTCGCTGCTGCCTCAGCCCCTGCCACCTCCCTGCTAAGCTGGGACCAGCCAAGCTGCCTCCCGGCAAGCAGGGACCCCATGCAGCAAGCACTCTCAGCCCGACCTCCTGTGATTGAGGGCAGGAACCACACGTGCTTAACTCCACCGGCAGAGCCTTTGTACATTTAATGGGTCACCCGAGGGCACATTTTGCACCATGGAGCCACAAATGTTTGCTGAGCGACAGGCCAGCTGCAGAACATCCTTGTCAAGAGCGACCTCTTCCACTTTTGAGCTGCCCCCAGCCCAAGCAAATTTTGCCTCATGCAATGGACCCTGTTGTGCATAGCTTGCCCTCCTGGCCCTAGTTACCAGCTGCCTTGCCCTGTGCCTGCTGCCTCTGCACTTGCAGGGGTGATGGTGACGATCAAATGAAATAATACATGTGAGGGCCCCAGGAAAGGGGAAAGTTATTCAATTTGAACCCAACCAGTAGTCAGCAAGGCCTCCTGAGGTCAAGGCACCATGCCAGGCTGCTGGGGGCTCAGATGTGAAGCTGTGACTGCTTCTGTGGGAATCATGGTCCACAGGGGGGAAACTCATTAAGACTAATTGGAGAGGAGGGAACCCCAGGCACGCGGTAAGAAATGATGTCGGTTCAGTTTTAAAGGAAAGCAGCTTGGTGTCATGCAAAGAACTGGACCCTGGTCTGAATCCTGGCGCTGCCACTTTCCATCTAACTCTGGACGCATTTTGAGTTGATTTCCTCATTATACCTCATAAGTCGTCAAGTTTTGTGAGATGCTTGAAGCCGGTAGGAACTCAGTGCCCCTCTTTATGCTCTCCTCTCCATTCCTAAAGGGAGTCAAAACTGAGCAGGGAGCGACTCACCGGGTAGAGGGCTTATTTGAAATTAGCAGCATTGTTTACACACCACTCACAATGTGTTAAATACCTTTAACATGTTTGTTTTCAGAGTCGAATTAAACACAGACTCCCGTGATTTTGTTTACACTATTTATTCATTCAGCCAGCTTTGTCTTCCCGGAGACGGGTAAACTTGTGTTGAACTGTCACAATCCAAATGAGTGGAGAGGAAAACCACAGGGTGGGGAGTGGGGCTTCTGGAGCTGGCAGGAGGGAGCCTGCACTAGGTTTAACCCACTGGGGTGGCCTGCAGCCTCCCCTAAGACCTGGGGACCTCTGAAATGCGCTCCTCACGCAGGGTGTTGGAGGATAGGACAGGCCTCTGGGTATAATTGCTGTTTTGCCGGCTCAGGATCAGAGGCTCCTGGTGGAAGATGGGGCTGCAGACCGAGTAAGGAGCAGGGTTCACCCCTGGGCCCAGGCTCCTGCCTGCTGGAGGAGGCAGGGGAGAATGTTTTCTACACTCAGGAAGTTTCTTGAGGTCTTGAGAAGAGGAAAGGTGAGAAAGAGAAGGCAACTGCTACCTAGGTGTACAGAGAGAAACACACACCAAGTATGGAGATAGTTTATTAATCATTATAATAAAAATATATCTGTATCTGCATGCACACATATATGTGTGTGTGTGTGTGTGTGTGTGTATATGCAGAAATCAAGGCTCAGAAGATATGAACCCTAGTATTAACAGGTCTAGGTGGTAGCATTAAGGCTGAATTTTCCTGTCTTCTTTACACTTCCTTCTACACAGAGTGTGTATTGTGTTTACAACAGGTTAAAAACAATAGGCTCCTTTGGGAATCCAGGCACCATCATCTGTATCAGCACTAGGACCATGGATCCTGCTCGGGCCTGCGGGATGAAGCTGAAGATGCCTCAGTCAGGAAGAGCTGCGACCCGCATCACGTCCCCATCCCACCCTCATTCCTCTTCCACTGTGCAGCAGCCGTAATTGTGCGGCGCCTTGTGTCGGACATGGGGTGGGTAAGAAAGTCCCAAACAGCCACCTGCCCGCACAGAGGGCATTATAAACCAGGGGAGAATGATAGCGGCATCCTTTAAAATAGCAACATGTTAGCACTCACAGATGAATATATACATGCTGAGAAGCTGGGCATATCAAGAGATTGATAAAGAGAGCGAGTAGCAGAATGAACGGCTGGGGAGGAGTGTTAACAAGGGAGGGTGTTGCCATTAATTGCTCTGAGCTGAGGAAGTCGGGTCAGGGCTCCTGGTGCAGGTGGCTCCGGGGCCCAAGAGGGGCAGCGGTCAAGACACCTTGGCGGTGCAGCTCCCAGCTGACAGTGCTCCCCCGACCCCCATCAGCTCCTTCTGGTGCATCTGGTTGCCAGGACAGTGGGGACTGGAAGGGGGCTCTGTGGGCTGTTGGATGGGGACAGACAGGGAGGAGGGAGGAAAGTGAGGCTCTGTCTCCCTGCTACCCTCCCCTGCCCACCTCCCACCTCTTATCAAGGACCCCAAGATGCTTGGGAGTACCCTAGACCCTCCTTTCCCCTGGGTCTTGGCCCACTCTGTGCCCTCCTACTTCCTGTCTTCATCTGCCACTGTGGCCCAGACCATCTCTGTCCCCAGTGCCAGTCACCTGGGTTGCAAGGGGCCCAGCTGGCTTCTTCAAGGTGCTGCTGGGGAGGCGGGCAATGCGGCTGCGGCCCCGGGCGACTCCCAATGAGCAGACTGAGGAACTGAGGGAGGGAGGGAAGGAAGGTGGGAAGGTACCAGCGGTGCCTCTCTCTGGACTACAGGGCACTACAAGTTGGGTCAGGGGTAAAGCTGATACTAAGCTTTGAAAGCAGGGGGAGGCTGAGCACCAAGAACTGCCAGGCCAGACCTGGGGGGTTGGGAGGCAGTGGGGAAAAGGGGAGACTCGTGGCATGCAGGAGGGAAATGGAGGTGAGGGGGTGGTCCATTCCACGGATAGACCAGTGAACACTGAATGTCTCCCTTGTGGAGAGGCGCCTGCATCCTTCAACTGAAGAAGGGAGGTACCCTTCACCTCTAGTATAATCCCGTGACAGCAAGGGCTGAGGGAACCTGCCAGAGAACCAGATGCTGGCCCTGCTCACAAGACCCCCCACTATCGGTGCCAAAGGGTTCAGAGGCTTAGCCGGGGCCTGTAGTTGGCCCAGCATCCCTGTCCTGGAAAAAGCTCTTTCTCTCCCCAAACCCTTCCCACCCTCACCTCACGATGCGCCTCTTCTTTCGGGCTGAGGTCCCAGGGAAAGCAGATGTTGGCTTGGGGCCCTTCATGGTGAACAGGGGCCCGGGTCCTCTGGGGAAGGGGGGAGAGAGGGGAGGAAGATCAGGGGAGGAGCAGGGAAGGGTCGCAGAGCTTCCCCCTCCGGCCCAAGCTTGGCGGGGGACGGGGAGGTTGGACAAGATGACCCCTAAGGTTTCTTCCCACTAAGAGGTGGATTCCTCTCCCTGCCTCACTCGGCCTGGGCTGACAGCTGAGTGACAGGCCTGTTCTGGGAGAACATCCAGATGTCAGTTTCTCGCACGTCTGGGGAACTGGAGTTCAAACAGTTTCACCCTTCCACCTGCCCAGCTCTGAACTTGTTACTTAGAGGTGGCTCCGGCGGCAGGAGGGGCAGGCGTGTGGTGGGCAGCTTGCCGCCCTGGGCCTCACAAGTCCAGGGCAGTCTGCCACCGGTCCCTAGCCTCGGACGGTCCTGGGCTGGCTGCTGTTCCCCTACCCTGCCTTGTGGGCAGAAGGTGCCCGTGAGAGCTTCATCTCCCCACCAAAATATGCTGAATAAAGTTTTCTGAGGACGCCCTTCCCAGTTCCCAGATGCTGGGCTGGAGGGCAAAATCTGGTGTGGAAGTGATAGAAACAGGTATTTCCCAGTGGGGCTCAGAACTCAGACCGGGCCGAAGGGTCCCAGAGATGCAGAGGGGCAGAGAGGGTTGGCTGCCCTCGTTGGTTCCTGCTCCCTGCCAACCCTCCCCAGGTGGTGTCCCCTTAGCAACTCGTGGGCACACCCCAAACCAACAGAGCTGGCAGCTCGTAAGTACAGACAGACAAGGCAGGGCCGAGAGGGAAGTGCATGCTCTCCGTCCTGGCCCAGGGAGTCACACTGCTCTGCCCGAAGGGAAGGAGCCCCCACTCCTCCGTGGGGCAGCATCTCTGTCCTGCTGACCCCTGACCCCTGCTGGGAGGGCAGCTGGAAGGGAGGCTTACCTGGGGATGAAGGGCTGATCCAGTCTGGTCAGCTCCTGGGGGACATTGTCCCAGCCGAGGCACTCATGGAGACCCATCTTTGAGGGGGGCCCCTCAGAGAGATCGAAGGTGGTGTTGAGGCCCCGAGTTGGCAGGGCTAGTGGGGTAGAGCAGTTCTGCACAGCAGACGGGCCCAGGGGCACCCGGCTTTTGATAACTGTGGCTGGGCAGAAGCGAGGGGAGTGGCAGGGGGAGGAGGCCCTTCCCCCTTTGGGGGTGGTAGGCCGGAAGGAAGGCTGAGCCTCAGGCAGGGACCCCCTCCTCAGGCAGGGCAAGAAGGACTGGCGCTGGCGCTTGGTCCCTGGTTTTGGGGGTGGAGGGCTGCCTGGTTCCCAGGGGCTCAGTCTCCTCCTCCTCCTCTTCTCTGCTGGCTGCCGGGAAGACTGGGCAGGGGTGCAGTCAGGCCCAGGTGGTACCCCCAGAGGGTGCGTGAGGCCACTCAGTTGCCTTGCCATGGTCCGGGTCACAGGGCCAGAGTACCCTGGAGACTCTGGGCACAGAGAAGTAGAGTGTCAAGGGGAGATCAGGGACTGGCCAGAAGGAAAAGAATTTGTAGAATTTGGGGAGAAAGACACTAGAGACATGCAGGAGCCCCTAACTCCTCAGGTCTGCAGTGACTCCTAGGGCCTCTCTGTATGCAGAAGTCCATGATCCCAGGGGCCCAGCTGCCAAACACAGTAGAACCCATCATTTGAGGTCCTGGCCACCTCTTGGCAGCAGCTGGGCCTTGGAGGTGGCACCTAGAGGCCGAGGCCAAGCCAGAGCAGGGGTGAGACTCACTTGACTCTGAACACAGCTCCAGAGATGCCCCACCGGCTGGTCCATGAGGGCCTGGGGCCTTTGCTCCAGGCTCAGCTTTCTCTTCTTGCACCAGCTGCTCCAGAGTCTCAAACTCTGTGATCATGTCGGGGGTCAGGAGGTTGGCTGCGCGGAGCAGGGAGTACTGCCGCTGGGCCATGCATAGCACCTTCAGGGCCAACCTGGAACAGAGGGAAGGGCATCGCCCTCCTGCTCAGACCTGGCCTGGCTGCGCACCTAGCCCCATTGCTGCAGGTGTGGTGAGGCACCCATGTGTCCTGGTCCTCTGGTTCCTCCTGCCTTGCCCTAGACTGCCAGCTGGGGCTCCTGCTCTGCCACACCTTGCCAATGAACACGGATTGGCAGAGATGGCCACGGGTAATGGTGGGAGGCTTCACCTGCCAAACATGCCCCCAGAAAAAGTCAGTGACCTTTTAAGTAGGGAAGGAGTGTTATGTGGCCTTGGACTCAGAAGGTTTGAGGTTCTTAGCTCAGCCACCTACCAGTGCTGTGATCTTGAGTAAGTTCATTGCCCTGATGAGCAAGGTAAGGGGGCAGGGAAGAGTCAAGCTCAAGACAGCTGCCAGCTAACATCCCAGCTCCAACACTTCCCGGCTGTGTGCTCTGAGAGGTACTGCTGAACCTCAGTCTCCAAATCCTTAAAATGGGAATAACAAATGAACCCACCTCATAGGTTGTTGAGAAGATAAAGTGAGTTATTTTATATATAAAGTGTTTAAAGAGTACCTAGCACACACTAAGCACTAGAAGGTTAGCTAACTGTTGTTTTCTGTAAAATGGAAAACATCTGTCTTGTGAGGCCAAGAGGAGATTAAATAAGATAGGCTGTGTTGGTCTTGGTTCTGAGATGACCCTCAAAAATTCATTCTGTTGGCACTTTCTAATGGCTAAGATCCTGAATTCTGTGAATCAATGCATACTTCCCATGCTCTGAGGGGCTATTTAAAAGGAATTACGAGGGTAATGAGATTATTGATGTTGTAAATTTAGATTCTAATAAAGCAAATTTCCTTTCTGTAAGGCACACCTATGATAATAGAATGAACACAATTATCTCAGTGGGGATTATTCACAGCCAATAATTTATCCTCAGGTAGACAACCTGCCTGGACATCTCTGAGCCCCCTCCTCTGCCCTCAGTGTGTGCTCAGGAAACCCAAACTCATTTTATAAAGCAGCCTCCAGGTGTTTTTGAAAGAAGGCAGGATACAAATTAAAAAGACATAGCAGAAACTCATTCTGTATCCACCTGAGCTGCATGTTATAAGAAAATTAGACTATTGAGAAAACAGGGTGCCTGGGGAGAAGTGTACTGGCCTGGCTGCCAGATGACCCAGGTCTGGCCCTAGGCAAATGCCTCGATAACCCATGGACAAATGGGGAGTTGGTCTATATCAGGGGTTTTCAAATTAGGTTTCAAAAAACCCATCAGAGGACATCTTAAATGGAGCAGCTATGCTTTACCTATTTTACATACTAGACTTCAGTGTAAGATTTCATTTGAAGAAAGGATTTTGCAGCTAAAAAAATTCTGAAAAACCATTGAACTGGAAAATCTCAGATCTACTCAATGCCCTGATGGTATAGGAGTCTAAAGCCAAAGTGAAATTATTTCCGATTATCCAGCTGTTAGGGTGTTGCTAGGTGTGAAGATGATCTAGAATGTTTTGCAGTCCCTGATATGTGGGGTCTTCTGTCACATTTTATTATTGCTCTATGAAGTATGGAAAATAAGGACTATGATCCCCAAATCACAGCTAAGGTTGAAGCAACTTGTCAAAGACCACAAAACCAGAGGCAAAACAGAAATGAGAACCCTAGTGTCCTCTCATCTCACAATGGGGGACACAAAGCAGAGAGACCCTGAGTCATCACTGGGAGCCCTGGGAGCAAAGGGGACATCCTGCCAGTGCAGCCGCCACTCCAGGGCCCTGGGGAGTCAGCAGCAGGAGATGGATAATGAGCCTCTGATTATTCAAGCTGCAGCATTTTTGCTGAGTTGGGAACAGACACTCCCCAACAAGAAATAAAATTAAACAGGCCCTTCTGTCCAGAAGCTTTAAATACACTGCCTAGCATGAAGCATGCTGGGGAGGGAGGTGTGGGGTTGGCAGCAGCAAAAGTGGCAGGGGATTTATGTTCTGGGGACCAAGAAAACAAATACTAGCAGTACCTCTCTATTCAGCACAGAAGGAATGGTCCAAAAGCCACTCCTCTCTGGCTCTGGGCAGTGGTGGGTATTTACTTCTGAGAAGAAATAGCCAATATCAGTCTATTGGTAAAGACAAATAGCAAGCACCTGACTCAGGAAGGCCATCCCTTCCTTAGCCTGCTGCTCAGCTTCTCTTGGCTGCCCAGTTCTCTCCTTGCTGAGAAAGGGGCAGCTGGGCCCTCAGACTGGAAAGCAAAGCACTAGCCCAGGCAGCCTAACTCAGAGCTTGCCAGCTGTCTGCATGGTATGTGGTGTTTCACTTCCCTCTCCAGGCAGGCTGCCAGCTATGTGGAGGAATAAATAGGGATCATGATGAGCAGACAGAGTAGATGATCTCAAATTGTTGAAAGCAGATAAGGGACAATGCTGAGGAAGATACGGCTTTAACTGGAGCAGAGCCAGGGCTTTTGTGGACTGCTTCACACCAACTCCCACCCCTAGAGGCTGAAACTATCATTTCCCACCTTCAGCCCCAGAGAAGAGCAAGAAGACACCTACTGCTTGGAACAGTCCCTGCCCAGGGCCTGTGGTGAGGGTCTTCCCACGTCTGGCTTGGGCTGCAGGGTCAGGCCAGGGGCCGCTAGCAGTGGGCGTCTGAAGGCCTGGTTTGGCACCTAAGGAGGAGGGGAGTCACAGCTAGAGGACCAGGCTGGCCTCCCTCACTCCCATAAGCAGCTCCTAAAATCTTCCCATCCTCTGAGTGGAAACGATGGTTTCTGGAACAACCGGGTCCTAGCTGCTTTCTCCCTCCCAGTCCCCCTCCTCCCTCCCTGTTCCCCCTTTGGGAATACAGGCTCTCACTCCCAGACACACAGAATCTGAGAGTTCTCCTTCCCGCACAGGACCTGAAAGCCTCTAGTGACTGAGATGTAGGATGTCCAGGTAGGGGAACCTGGGACTGAAGGGGCCCTCTGGGGGGGGGGGGGGGGAGTGGCATTGCTTCCACCTTTCCACCAGCTCTAAGTCCTACCTCCTCTGCCGGGTCCTTGTCCTCTGGGGACTGTGGCTGGTCTGAAGAGTTCCCTTCTGTGACTCTCCCTTCCTCAGCCTCTGACCCCAGGCTCTCCTCTTGAAGGGCTGCAGACCCTGGGTGGAGCTCCAGGGTGCAGGGTTGGCTAGGAAGACTAAAGGGGAAATGAGAGGGTTTGAGAGGTGGGAAGCAGAGAACAGGCAGGAGTTCTGCAGCCCTGGTGGAGGGGTGGGGGGTACAGAACCCTTAAGGGATGGAGCTTCAGTGGCAAGAGGGCAGTACCAGAGGGTGGGAGAAGGAGCCTCATCCACTCCTTAACTTCATCTTTTTCTGAATAGTAGATGTTACTTATATGGGTTGGGAGCATCACTTATTCATTTGACACAGAGCATTTCTTCTATTTTTATTTTACTTAGCATTGTTATCAGAAATGTCTAGAATGATCTGTGTAAAGTAAGAGAGAATGTTCTAGGTGACAACCAGCATGCTGGGCATGGCTGGGAACCCTAACGCTGGGTGTCAGAACAGAAGCAAGGAGATGCGGGGGCTTTTCCACTGAGTGGAAGGCTGGGGGCAAGTCCGGGCAGCAGAACTCACGGGAGTTGTGGAGGACCCAGTGTGGGAGATTGGGGCAGGTCCTGTTGTGGGGCCCGGGCTCCCACCTCATACACTCGGAGCTTCTCTCTCAGGGTGGCCACCTAAAACCAAAGCAATCCAGTCCCTCAGAGCCCCAGGAGAGCGCAGGAGACCAGGATGGCACCCAGTGCTCGGGTCTCTTGCTTCCCCAACCCTGAGCTGGTGCCCAGCCTTCTAGCCAAGCTCCTCACCTCAGCCTGGAGCTGCTGGCAGATGGTGGCATACTGGCTGATGTGACAGTCCAGGCTAATCACGTTGCTCTTCAGCTGAGATGGGGGCACAGAGGAGAGATTAGTTTGTTCATTCAAAGCAGCTTTTAGCAACCACTTCTGATGGCCAGGCACTGCGCCTGGTGCCTCACTCACACCTGAGATCCACCCTCACCAGTGGGGAAGGTCGGTGGCTTGCCTGAGACCGTGGCAAGGGGTAGAGGGTACTTTTGAACCTAAGCCCTCACACTTCCTCTCACCAGGCCAGGGGCTTTTCAGCAGCAGCTCCAGGAGCTCTGGGGCTTCCTGGAGGAGGCAGGAAACCAGAGCAACTCTGCTTTTATGTGTTATTGGTGTTGATGCTGCTTTGCTGAAAATATGGCTCTACTACTGAACCAAGTCTGCAAAAGATTACTGGCTGACACCTGACCATCCCCTCCTGTTGCCTCCCTCTTGGATGACTCTGCCTCAGTCGTCCCAGAGGTCTTATATTTTACTCGTCAAGTCTTGGAGACAGTCCTGCCTCTCTCCCAGCCAGTCTTGCCAAGGATGGGGATTGTGTCGCTTCCACCACAAAGAATTTCCCTGGAGAGAGAGGCTCGGGAACCTGCTCCCTCTGCCTCGGGGGAATACTTGTTCCAGGTCCTGGAGGAAGCTGGGTGGGTCCTGTCCCTTCCTCCTCCCATCCTGGGGGCTCTGCCCATGGCAGACTGGCCATTCCTGTCTGGCACACACCGAGAGTTTGATCTCCTTGGCCCGGTCGGCATACTTGAGGGTGTTGTACGTGTCCTCATAGGCCAGGCTGGAAGGGCTGATGGCAGCGATCATCACAGTGCGGCAGTTGCCCCCGATGGAGTCCTTGAGCAGACGCGTCAGTTTGCTATCCCGGTAGGGCACATGGGACTTGCGGCCCTGGAGGGTAGTGAGAGGGTATGGAGGGAGGTGGCTGGACTAGACAGACCCAGGCTAGGGCCCAGGGCTAGAAGGAAGGACCCTTGGCTTCGGGCACTTGATGCTGTTCTGGAAGGGACCCTGGGTCAGTGCAGCTTTACCTTTGCGTCAGCCAGGGCATTAAGGACATTGATGAGGGCCAGCAGCGAGCGGTTGATGTTGGCACCCTCCCGTAGCCGCTCTCCCTTCGCGTGGGTGCTGGACGCCCGCTCTGAACCAGCCAGGTCAATCAGGCTCATTTTGGCCACCTGAAGAGCCTGGGTCAGACCTGGGACCCGGTCCTGCTGCTTCACAAAGACCTGGGCACAGATGGCAGGGGTGACGGGGTGCTGGGCATCAGGGGCTCTGGTTTCAGGCTCTGACCCATGACCCCTCTCACCTGGAAGATGGCATGGGAGCGGGAGGAAGTAGCATTGGCATCAGTGGGGTGCTGTGTGCGGTTACGGTTCCCCCTGGTCAGCATTTCCAGCAGCTGCTCAGCTGAGGTTGGCTACAGAGGAGATGCCCAGGCAGGTGGCTGTGGTCTCCCTGACCAGGACCTTCCCCTCAGGACCAATGCCAACCCCTTGCTACTGTCACCACCACAGGATCTGGGGCATCCCCGATAGAACCCCGGAGGACCAATGGGGCTGCTCTTGCCACCTGAGCCCAATCCCACACCTGGTGGAAGGAAAGTCCTTGTACCACCACCCCCTTGTCAGGGTCCTCACGGATGGCAAGGGGCCCCTTGGGCTCCAGAAGGTCGTGGATCTGCTCATTGTACACCTGGGGAGAAGGGAAGCAAGGGAGAGACCTGAGGGACAGTTCCTGGCAGGAACCCTCTCCCCTGGAGGCTGGGCGAGGGCTGTTGACTCTCCCTTCCTCAGCCTCTGACCCCAGGCTCTCCTCTTGAAGGGCTGCAGACCCTGGGTGGAGCTCCAGGGTGCAGGGTTGGCTAGGAAGACTAAAGGGGAAATGAGAGGGTTTGAGAGGTGGGAAGCAGAGAACAGGCAGGAGTTCTGTAGCCCTGGCGGGGGGGTGGGGGGTACAGAACCCTTAAGGGATGGAGCTTCAGTGGCAAGAGGGCAGTACCAGAGGGTGGGAGAAGGAGCCTCATCCACTCCTTAACTTCATCTTTTTCTGAATAGTAGATGTTACTTATATGGGTTGGGTGCATCACTTATTCATTTGACACAGAGCATTTCTTCTATTTTTATTTTACTTAGCATTGTTATCAGAAATGTCTAGAATGATCTGTGTAAAGTAAGAGAGAATGTTCTAGGTGACAACCAGCATGCTGGGCATGGCTGGGAACCCTAACGCTGGGTGTCAGAACAGAAGCAAGGAGATGCGGGGGCTTTTCCACTGAGTGGAAGGCTGGGGGCAAGTCCGGGCAGCAGAACTCACGGGAGTTGTGGAGGACCCAGTGTGGGAGATTGGGGCAGGTCCTGTTGTGGGGCCCGGGCTCCCACCTCATACACTCGGAGCTTCTCTCTCAGGGTGGCCACCTAAAACCAAAGCAATCCAGTCCCTCAGAGCCCCAGGAGAGCGCAGGAGACCAGGATGGCACCCAGTGCTCGGGTCTCTTGCTTCCCCAACCCTGAGCTGGTGCCCAGCCTTCTAGCCAAGCTCCTCACCTCAGCCTGGAGCTGCTGGCAGATGGTGGCATACTGGCTGATGTGACAGTCCAGGCTAATCACGTTGCTCTTCAGCTGAGATGGGGGCACAGAGGAGAGATTAGTTTGTTCATTCAAAGCAGCTTTTAGCAACCACTTCTGATGGCCAGGCACTGCGCCTGGTGCCTCACTCACACCTGAGATCCACCCTCACCAGTGGGGAAGGTCGGTGGCTTGCCTGAGACCGTGGCAAGGGGTAGAGGGTACTTTTGAACCTAAGCCCTCACACTTCCTCTCACCAGGCCAGGGGCTTTTCAGCAGCAGCTCCAGGAGCTCTGGGGCTTCCTGGAGGAGGCAGGAAACCAGAGCAACTCTGCTTTTATGTGTTATTGGTGTTGATGCTGCTTTGCTGAAAATATGGCTCTGCTACTGAACCAAGTCTGCAAAAGATTACTGGCTGACACCTGACCATCCCCTCCTGTTGCCTCCCTCTTGGATGACTCTGCCTCAGTCGTCCCAGAGGTCTTATATTTTACTCGTCAAGTCTTGGAGACAGTCCTGCCTCTCTCCCAGCCAGTCTTGCCAAGGATGGGGATTGTGTCGCTTCCACCACAAAGAATTTCCCTGGAGAGAGAGGCTCGGGAACCTGCTCCCTCTGCCTCGGGGGAATACTTGCTCCAGGTCCTGGAGGAAGCTGGGTGGGTCCTGTCCCTTCCTCCTCCCATCCTGGGGGCTCTGCCCATGGCAGACTGGCCATTCCTGTCTGGCACACACCGAGAGTTTGATCTCCTTGGCCCGGTCGGCATACTTGAGGGTGTTGTACGTGTCCTCATAGGCCAGGCTGGAAGGGCTGATGGCAGCGATCATCACAGTGCGGCAGTTGCCCCCGATGGAGTCCTTGAGCAGACGCGTCAGTTTGCTATCCCGGTAGGGCACATGGGACTTGCGGCCCTGGAGGGTAGTGAGAGGGTATGGAGGGAGGTGGCTGGACTAGACAGACCCAGGCTAGGGCCCAGGGCTAGAAGGAAGGACCCTTGGCTTCGGGAACTTGATGCTGTTCTGGAAGGGACCCTGGGTCAGTGCAGCTTTACCTTTGCGTCAGCCAGGGCATTAAGGACATTGATGAGGGCCAGCAGCGAGCGGTTGATGTTGGCACCCTCCCGTAGCCGCTCTCCCTTCGCGTGGGTGCTGGACGCCCGCTCTGAACCAGCCAGGTCAATCAGGCTCATTTTGGCCACCTGAAGAGCCTGGGTCAGACCTGGGACCCGGTCCTGCTGCTTCACAAAGACCTGGGCACAGATGGCAGGGGTGACGGGGTGCTGGGCATCAGGGGCTCTGGTTTCAGGCTCTGACCCATGACCCCTCTCACCTGGAAGATGGCATGGGAGCGGGAGGAAGTAGCATTGGCATCAGTGGGGTGCTGTGTGCGGTTACGGTTCCCCCTGGTCAGCATTTCCAGCAGCTGCTCAGCTGAGGTTGGCTACAGAGGAGATGCCCAGGCAGGTGGCTGTGGTCTCCCTGACCAGGACCTTCCCCTCAGGACCAATGCCAACCCCTTGCTACTGTCACCACCACAGGATCTGGGGCATCCCCGATAGAACCCCGGAGGACCAATGGGGCTGCTCTTGCCACCTGAGCCCAATCCCACACCTGGTGGAAGGAAAGTCCTTGTACCACCACCCCCTTGTCAGGGTCCTCACGGATGGCAAGGGGCCCCTTGGGCTCCAGAAGGTCGTGGATCTGCTCATTGTACACCTGGGGAGAAGGGAAGCAAGGGAGAGACCTGAGGGACAGTTCCTGGCAGGAACCCTCTCCCCTGGAGGCTGGGCGAGGGCTGAGTTACTGGGCAGGGAAAGCATGATGGGACTCCCACCCCCAAGAGTGGCATTTTGTGGGTGGTATTAAATGGCAAGGACAAGACCAGCAGGCCAAGTTCATGGTCAAGCTGTGTCTATGCTCTTTGGGCCTCCATCTGCCCACTTCCTACCACCCTTTCCCCAACCTGTTCATTCATTCTTCAGGGCTTGTAAGCATGAGGGATGGGGCCACCCAGTTCCGGGAAGAAAGAGCCGTACCTCCTGGTAGCTGATGAGCACCTCAAATCGCTTCTCCTCCTGGCGGGCCTCGAGCCGCCGGTACAGCTCCATGGTGGTCAGGTACATGATGCCCGGCTCCCCCTCTCTCCCCAGCATGGTGTGTGTCTTTCCAGCCCCGGTGGCCCCATAGGCAAACACTATGGAGGACAGGGTGGTAGCAGGGCCAGATCTGCCTTCTCCAGAGGCTCCCCTGTGCATTTCCACCCAGCTCAGTCCCTCCCTCAAGGCCTTCCTTAGCCTCCCATGCACTCCCACCCACCAGCGCTGTCCCACATGTGCACTGCAGCCTTTGAGTTCTATGTCTATGGCCTGGCTCCCCTATAGGCCCGTGGATTTGAGGACACAGGGGTCTCCACTATGGGTGGGGACTTATCTCTTCCTCTGGGGAGACTTCTACCAGTCCAGGTGGCTTCCTCTGCTGGAGGCCCACAGTTCTTTTCCCTGTAACGCTTGCCTAGGTTTGTAATCACACACGTGTGGGTGTGACCTTGTGATTAGCGTCTTCCCTCACTAAACTGTAAGCATAAGGGCAGGAACCATGTCCACTTGATCTGCTAACGTATCCTAGAGCTCAGCAGAGTGCCCCCCCAACTCTGGGAACCCACAAAGCATGAAAGCACCAGAGCCCTTCTCCACGAGGGCCCAGCCCAGGGGGAGGAGGGCACATGTCAGAAGATGCAACATGCACACCCTTGGAAGGAAGTGGGTAGGTACGACTGCCACCAACCAGGGCTCTTCTTCCTTGCTGCCCAGGCTCACCTGAGCAGTTGTAGCCCTGGAGGAAGCTGTCTAGGACACTGTGGGTGGTGTGTTGGAACACGTCCTGTTGGGTAGCCGCCTCACCAAATACTCGATCAAAGACAAATGTCAGGTCCTTGCCCTTCTTCTTGGGGCCATCATGGGTGCCACCCCATTTCAGGCCCGGGAGGCACCCATCGGGCTCCTCAGGGTCGAACACCAGCACCTGCTCACCCACCACCTGAACCACAGGCCGCTGCTGACTCTCCAACTCCCGAGGGGTTGGGGGCCGGAGCCGCACCATCACCTGCACCACGCTGTCTTCCACCGCCATCACCATGGCAACACCTGGGCAGGGACACACAGGAGATGAGGACCAAGTCACTCCAGGCCCAACCTAGTGCCCCTCAGCCTAGCATTCAAGGGCCTTCTTCCACCCCGTCCCTAATAGCTGAGCTCCATATAGAACCTCAAGGGACTAAGATTGGTGCCAGCTCCAACTATTAATATTTCTTTCTCACGTGAAACACCACCTTTGTCATATTCAAATGACTATTTTTTTGTCAGAAGCTTATTATGGGGTTTTCTTTTACATTCTACTAATCCGCCTACTCCTGTACCAACACTGGTTTCCGCTCCGTTCCTTTACAGTATGCTTTTTATCTAGCTAGGCAAGCCCACCCCCTTCCCAACTAGTCTTCCTTTTCACGATTTTCTAGGCTATTTTCATGCACTGATTGTTCTATTTGACTTGAAAGAAATTTTATCAATTCCATCCCCAGAACCCAGGACCCCTGATTCCCCTCCAAAAAAACCCTATTGGTATTATAACTGGAATTGTATTAAGTTTACACATTTATTTTCTAGTAAGCCTTTTCATGCAAGAACACAGCTATTGCCTATTTGTTCAGATATTTTTTATGTCCCTCAGTAAGATTTTATAATTTTCTCTCTCTTCACATAGGCTCTGCAAGTATCCTTTTAATAGAATTCCAAAATATTTTATGGATTTAATTGCTCTTCTGAATGGAACACCTTCCCCATCTCCATTTCCACGTAGTGATTGCTAGTATGTAGAAACACAATTGATTTTTACATATTTACCTTGTATCTACCAACCTCAAACTCTCTAATTTCAGTTGTTGTTTTTTTTGTTTGTTTTTTGAGAGGGCATCTCTCATATTTATTGATCAAATGGTTGTTAACAACAATAAAATTCAATTTCAGTTGTTTTTTATTAGAGCTTATTGGGTTTTTGGATTAATTACATATCAGGAAAATTTTTTTTTTCCATACTTACACCAAATTTCATTTATTGTCCTCTGCATTCTCTAGAACTTCCAAAACAATGTTAAATAACAATCATGATAATGGGTAACCCTGTCTTATTCTTGATCTTAAAGGAAATGGCTTTAGAGCTTTGCTATTCATAAATTGGTTTTGGACAAATAGCTAGGATTCTATTAGTAATGTCTTCTACTCCTATTTTACTTAGAGTTGTTATTAGGAATGTCTAGAATCATCTAATGCTCTTTCAGCATCTCCTAATATTTATTTTTTCTTCTTTATTTTGTTAATGTGGTAAATTATTTGATAGTCCTGGTATCAAACCAACCATGCATTCTTGAAAAAAATCCTACCCTGGCATACTGAAGTTTACAGTTTTTAAATAGTCAAATGTGTCAAGCTTTCTTTTATGGTTATGTCACATTTAAGAAGACATTCCATCCCCAAGGTAATGAACACTTTTATTATATTTCCATCTAATACTTTTTCTTTTTTACATTTAGGTCTTTAGCCAGATTGAATTTTGTTTTGTGAATGCTACGAGGAGGTTTCTATCGTTTCTTTCCAATGTAAGCAATTATCACAAGATCATTTATTAAATAGTACATTCTTTCTCCACTAATTTGAAATGCCACATTTAACATAACTATATTCTCATATAAATATGAATTTTTCTCTGGACTTCCCATTCTGCTCTACTGATATCCAATTTCTTTTCCAATAACTTGCTGTCATAATTACTGTGGTTCTATAGTACATTATCTTGTTCTTTTTCTTGGTTATTCTTGGGCATCCAACTTGCATATGATCTTAGAATCTGCTTACAGAGTTCTATGAAAAATACTGCCAAGATTTTAACTGGGATTATTTTGAATTTGTAGATTAATATGAGAATTGGCATCTTTACAATATCAAGTCTTCCCATGTAGGAACATAGTATCTCTTTTAATTATTCACAAATTTCTAATCCTCAGTAAAATTTCATAATTTTCCTCACATGAGTATTGTATATTTTTTAATAGGGTTATGACTGGTTATTGTATAGTCTTTATTATATTGTGAATAAGCTCCTTTTAAAATTGCATTTTCTAATTCATGTTTGCTAGAATATAGGAAAGCAACTGATTTCTGTATGCAGATCTTGCAACTGGAGGCATTAATGAATTTCCTTATTAGTTCCAATAGTCATTGATTCTCTTAGGTTTTACAATTAAATGATGATACAGTTTGCAAATAATGACAGTTGCTTTCTATTTTTAGCTCTTCTATATTTAGTTCTCCACCCTCCACTACCCACTGGGAATGGATACTAAATTTTGTCAAGTGCTTTTTTGGTACTGGCTGAGATGATCACACAGTGTCTCTCCTTTAATCTGTTAATGGAGAGGGTGACAGGGACAGATTTCCTAATGTTGACCTTGTAATAATTCCAGACACTTGCTTGCCTATTCCCTCTTGCATTCCCCTCTGACCTCTTGCCTTGGTTTTTAAATTTCTCCTTCATGCCAACCTACCAAGGGTAGAGACAAAATTTTTGGAATGCAGGAGTTACAGCTATCCTGGAAAAATTCAACCCAACTCTAGGGATATATTAACAGGGGCTGTTCCTGGAGGATATGAATGGATGAATGCTCTCAGGAAAGAGTAGATTCAGCTGATGGGAGCAAGGTCATTCTGCAAAGAAAAGTAGGATTTCTACCTAATACTCCAGCAAACAACTCATTTTCCTTGGGAATGAGGCAGAATTGAGTTAATACGAGATTCCTGTCCCCACCCACAAGCTTCTTAATTTCTTTCCCACACAAAGCAAGGGAAAATACCAACCAATAACAAAATGTTTACACATCTGTCATTCTTTTCCTGTCTCAGCAATCGGGCTGCCATAATAATAAGCATAACTACTAAGTGCTCACTATGTCAGGGACTATTTAAGCACCTCATGCATATCATCTTTTATCTCCATCTCCAATGCACGAGATGGATATTATTATCACACTCATTTTCAATGAGAAAATTGAGACAAGAAGGTTAAGCAACTTGCCCAAGATCTCAATGCCAGTAAGTGATGGAGCCTGGTTCCAACCCAGTTACTCTGTCTGCAGAGCCTGTTATACTGCCTTATAATGATATCATATATTATGCTCTCACGATCATGTTTTTTGTAATAGTCCCTTATGTTTGTGTAACAATTATAATCCCTTTTATGTAGCTGCATTATGTAATCTGAAAACACTTTCAGATAGATGAACTGTACTTAAATTTCAACACTCAGGGAGAGTTCAGTCTCTCATCCTTTCATTCCCACCCCAGGGAACTCCACTTTTGTATCCAGGGAAGTGAAGGCAGAGGGTGTCTGCCCCCACCATCTGGGTCTATACGGGCTGCCTCATTGGCAGTCCCAGCTCCCTATGGGGAGGATTTCAGCTTAGGAGGAGCCACAGAGCAGCCTAACATTCTAAGCAGGAAATTAAAAAGGGCACTGGCAGCGAAGTGCGCCTAACCTTTACAGTTCTCGCGTCTCCGCCTCCTGAGGGCCAGTGAGGCAGACTGTTTGCCTAATGAGATGTTTTCCTTCTTTCTGAGACACTGCTGTGGGCATGGGGTGGTGGGATAGGGTGACACTTGGCATAGCCGGAGCTAGGATGCCTGGGTCCTGGTGTCTGCTCTGTATCCAACTGGTGGGGAGATCTTGCCATCAGCAAATCACGTTCATGTGGCAGCAGCTCCCCCTTTGAGAGCCAGAGAGAAAGCTCGAATATGCTCCCGCCCCTGGGGGATGGGAGATTAATGAGAGAACGTTTGTCAAGTTTGCTTTGATCTTTGGTTGGAAAGAGCATTTCAGCCCAAAGTACAAGGGAGATGATTCTTTAATAAGATCTTCAGGGTTCTGAGCCAGCCACAGTCACATCCTGTTTCTAACCCAGGGCAGCTCATTAAAACCCAGAGGCTAACACTGCTGAGCTTGGGCTGGAAAGCCAAGATTCAGCTGTTTTCAGGGTAGTCTTCCCTTCCCATCCTTGTAGGGACAGGCCGAAGAAGCTCAAGCTCCTTAGAGGCTCCTGGAGAATTTCTAAGGACTTGAGAGAATCCACCTGCAGACACAGGGAGTGGGAAAGGCGCTTGGCCCTAGGACATTCTTTTTTTTTTTTTTACAGGAGTTGCTTCGTGGCTCCTTTACAACTCTCACACGCTTGCGTTTCTTGTCCTTAAGCTCCAAAGAGAGCAGGGCCCTCTTTGTTACAGTCTGTGCTCCCCAGATGCTGAGGCACCAGATTTAGCATGCAGTAGATGCTACATAATATTTGTCCTATGAATGAATAAAGGCCAGAGAAGAGCAGAGCCTGAATCTAAGTCTGAAAATAATTACTATTATAGCTAACATTTATGGAGCACTTATGATGTATCTGGCACTATGTAAAGTGCTTTACAAATGGTGTCATTTAACTTTTACCATAATCTCATTCTGTAGTTACTGATATAATTACTACATCCTTACCCTACAAAGGAAAACTGAAGCTCAGGAAGGAGCTTGTCACTGGATGGTAAGTAGCAAGGCCAGACCTTGAACTTGTTTTGTCACCAGAGGCATTACTCTTCATCCTAGGCTATTCTGACCTGTCGCTGGGCTCCTGCAGCGCCTATCTCCCTTCACCGTAGTAATATCCAAAGACCTGTTTCTTTCTACAGGTGGTTGTGCAGAGGAAGAAGCTGTGTACTTTTGTATTTTAGATAGACAATCAAGGCTGTAACTGATGATAATTTTGTTTATTCCTTTTTAAGTTTTATTTCTCTTGTCTCATAATTCTGGCTAGGATAGAATAGAGGCAACAATAAGTGCCTTGTCCTTTCCTGGTTCCAAATTTTACCTTTCCTGATTTTGAGGGGAATGCTCCTATTATTTCACTCTTTGTTGGTTTAAGAAAACTTATCTTTACTTCTATCTTATCAGATTTAAGAAAACCATGAATGGGTATTGAATTTTATTGAATTCTACTTCTGTGCTTAATGGGACATTATTTTTCCTTTAATCTGTAAATGTATAAATTGTATTAGATTTTCTGTTGTTAAACAATTTTCCTCTTCCTGGGATAAACCCCACTTGATCATAATGTATTTTTTTAACACAATGCTGGTTTCTGAATATTTAAGATTTTTACAACTACATTTATAAAAGAGATTGGTTTGTAATTTTCTTTGTCTTATTTTTGGTATCACAAAAGACTGGAAATGTTATCTTTTTTGGGAGAGATTGTATAAAATTAGAATGACTTATTCAGATTGCTTGTAAATTTCTGGTGGAGTCTGGTAGGGTATTTTTGATGGGTATGAAGGTAAACTTTGAGCTAATTCAATTTCCTCAGTGGTTGTAGGTCTGCTATTTCCATAACTCCTTGAGTCACCTTTGGTAAGTTGTTTTTTCCTACAAATTTGTCCAAAAGCATTGACAAAAAGGATGTTCCATTTAAGTGTCTCTTGTCTCTCTCTTTTAATCTCTCAGTAACTGAAGTTATGTCCCTATTTTTATTCCTAAGATCATTTTCCAGTGTTTCTTATCTTTATTTCTTAGTCAATATTGCCAGGAATTTTGTTTTTTTATTAGTCTTTTCAAAGATACAGTTTTTGGCTAAATTAACCTTCTCTATTATATAATAAATTTCTATTTCATTAATTTCTGCTCTTAACCTCTTCTTTTTATTTTCTACACATTTATCCTACTGCTCTATTTTATTAAAGTTGGATATTTGCATCAATAACGTCCAGATTTTTTAAAAAAGCTCAAACATAAGCATTAAGATTATAAATTATTCTCTAATTATTGCTTTAACTGCATCCCACAAGTTTTATACATAGTATTATCACTGTTCCATGCAAGTTATCTTTTAATTATGATATCATATTTGACTGAGTTAAGTGGGTTGTTTTTTTAATATCCAAACATAGGTTTAATTTCTTTTTCTTTTGTATTTTTAACTACTTCCTTGTGGAAAGAGAATATGATCTGTACTCTGATAATTGTTTCAATTTGTTCTGTAGCCAGATAGAAAATATTTATAAATACCTCTAAAATATATTTTTAAAAATATACAGGAAGTTGGGGTTGGGTAATATAAAGGCCAACAAATTGAGATACTATACTATCAAATTATGGGTGGGGGAGTTCAGTAACTGGATACGTTGGCAGTTTAATGGGATGTGGTGATAGGAGAAAAAGTAGAATATTGAGGAGATTGGAGAAATCAGTATAAGATTGAAAAGCTGATTCAGAAAAATTTTGTAGATGTTCTCCTCTGAGCTAGGCTTAACTTGTCTGTGTTTTCCAACCTGTAAAATATAAATAATATTAGTATCTACACCATAGGGTTGTGAGGATTAAGTGCCTGGTATGTGCTCAGTGAATGTTATCCATTATTACTAGAATTAATGTGACATACAGCATTTTTCCACAGTGCCAGAAGAACTAATGTCTTTAGTAAAATCCCCCACATTTCCAGTGGCACAGAACAAGCTTTATGTTTTCCATGTCACTTCACTACCTTAAAAGGTCAAAGCTAAGAGGAGAGGCATCCTAGACGCAGTAGCAGAAGACATGGTTTTTCTGTCATACAGATATTTCTTTCATTCCTTCCTCTGTTCAATCAAATTGTTACTGAGTGCCCCAATAATTACGTTACAGCTGCTGGCACAGCTCTGCGGTTAGTTCTTCTGTATAGATGTGTGGAGGGGGTCTTAGCTACTCCACACAGATGTTCAGGGGGTCCCAGGGCTCCAGTTCTAGCATGCAGGACCCAATTCGTCATTACAGATGAGCAGGAGAACCTTTCAGAGAGCGGGTGTACAGAGGGCCGGAACCCCGCGCACATATGTGGACCCAGTTTAGGTCCTGAGCAAATGGGCAGAGAGGTCCTGATCTCCGTGTAGACACAGAGGAAACCGCCCTGCTCTGCCCCAAACCCTGTTTAGAGGGGACCACCCACAACATGCCCGGTCTCCACGCTGCACGTTGGTGCCTGGTACGGAAGAAGCCGGGCTCGGGCTTCCTCCATGAGCAGCTGGGTCAGCGCATGTAAGACACAAGCGCAGAAGCCTGCGAGGCCGGTTCCACCGTGGGACAGAACTTACCCTTCGTCGGTTCCCGCCACTGGTGTCGCAGCTTGCTCCCAGGTCCCTCCACCGCAGACAGCAGCCCTGACCACCGGAGAGCGAGCCCTAACCCTGACCCTAACCCTCCCCCACCGCGCCAACCTGCACCCCGCGTCGCGCGTTCAAACTAGCTGGGCCGGCTCTTCAGCGCTTCCCATTGGTCCCCGCCAGGATCGCTGATTGGCTGTTTCCTAAGTAACAAAGCCCAGCCGCGGTCAACAGTGCGCTTGCGCACTTCCCTTGCTGCCTGGTGGAGGTTTTGAGTCAGTGTCCCAGAGGCTGGACGCACCATACTGACCCGCAGAAACCAGTGTGGGGTTGGGTACAGTGGTGGGGGTAAGGATCCCCTCTCTACCGTGCCTGCGACTGGATTCATAACCAATTGCAGCAACCAGACATCACTTTCAAACCTGTTTTTTCTGTGGGCTAAGTTGGCATCAGCTTATCTAAGAAGGGACTCTTAGCCACCGCCCAGACTCTCTTCTGGCTCTGCGCCATCCCAGGAATGAACTTCGAGGGCAGCCTTGATGTGGAAAAACCAGCGGAAGCAGAAAATGGCAATTCCACCCACCTGGCTTTGGCAGTGCCTGGGGTGTCATGGACTGGTTGTTGGATTTGGGGGTTGTCTCTTCAGGGCATCTGGACAGCACTGTCTCCACCCTCCACAGCTGCCCACTGCTTGGATTCTGGGGGGCCAACCTCATTCTGATCCCCAGCAGCGGAGGTTGTGGGAGTCAAAGAGAGAGCCTTGCACTGTAATTGGGAGGCCTGATTCCAGTCACTAGTGGCTGAATCACTAATTAGTGCTGAGACTGTGCAGGTCACTTCTGTTCTCTGAGTGTTAGTTTCCTGCCCTTCCTACTCACCTAGGACAGCATGTGAAAGCCCTCCACACCCTGGACATATGTAAAGGGACAGCTTTCTATGAACCTGATTAGAATCAAACAGGTGATGGCTGCCAGAAGCCAGTTGTTCACCACTTTCATTAACCCTGAACTGTCCCCACACTGGAACCACAAGTAGGTCCTAAGGCATGCAGGAAAGCCAGAGGCAAAATTCCCTAAGTGAACATACCATCAAGGTAGTAGAGTCACTATTAATACCCGATTAATTGGGTCCAAACTCTTCATTCACCTGCCAGGACCTACACTGCTCTCTATTCAATGAGAGAGCACTGCTGACTTGGTGAGAATACAATGAGAAAATTATGCAAAGATGCTGTCATTTGTAAAGCTACAAGAAAACCAGGGTATTCTTTCTATCTGCACCACCCAGGAAAAATAAAACTGTTAAAAAATGGCTTATAGTTTCAGGGTCCTCTTTCAGGGATGTGCTTTTTAACAGAGGTTTGGGGTGTGGAGGAGGGCTTGTTCACAGGTTCCTCTCATATCCTGGAAGCCAGTTCTTGCCTTGGTCCTATTCTGGTTCAGGCAATTAGCTGGAGAAGGTGAGGTGAGCCAAGGTGAGGCAAAGGGGTAGTAGGAAGAGGACACTTAACTTGCTTGATAATTTTGGACAAGTCACTTAGCCTCTTAGAGCCTCAGTTTCTGCAGTTATAAAAGAGAGGATAAAGTAATACTTGGATTGTTAAAAAGGTTAGAAATATTGAGGTAAAGCACCTTGTAGACATTCAATGAAATGATAGTGGGTGTTCTCATATTCATTCATTCAACAAATATTTATTGATATGAGGCAAGTGTGCTCAGAAGATAGGGTGGTGAATGATAAACACCTGTCCCCTACCCTCATGGAGCTTGCAATCTATGGGAGAAATTAGACAATTAAACAAGTACTAAAAATAAGGTGACGTATAGGCTATGAGAACATGTGAGGCTTCAGGGGAAAGTGACACACATGCTGAGGTCTTAGGGAGGAGTGAGCCAGTTTGGCAATGGTAGCTGTTCCTTGAAACTCAGAAACCAAGAGAAAAGAATTTTGAAGGTTAGAGAGTCAACCAAGCTCCTGATGATGAGAAGCCTTGGTAGGACCTGGCCAAGCCTTAGTGGACACAAAAGGAAAACCCCGGGGCCCTACACCACAGATGCTGATAAGGGGGATCTGCCTGGTACTAACCCACAAGAATTCCAAGGCCTAGATCCCAGATGTGAGGGCTGGATGTAGAAATTTTGCCTTTTGTGGTGGCAGAAGATGTCTCTGGGATGGTAAAGTTTGGGATGTGCTTTGTGAGGTGCTTGGCTATCTCACTGTGCAGTTGCCAGGAGCACCAACCCTACGCAAAGGCAGAGGGGAGCCATGTCCTCTCCCCTGCACCCTTGTCACAGCACATCCTTTGCACCGAGGCATGGCATTGGCTCCTTCAGATATAGATCAATTTTTAAAGATCCTTGAACCAAGTCTAAAGCATCATTCTTGCTTCCTTAAACTCCAGCCACACTTCAAGGGCTGGCCTAGCACAGTGAAGATGGAAAAGTGTGCACTTGGTTTATCCACAAGAAGGTCAGCAGTGGTCTTGGCAGGAGCAGTTGAAAGCGGATGTGGGGTCAAGGGAGGATTTTTAAGGATAGGAGAGGTTTAAATGATGATGGGAAAGAGCCAATATAGAGTAACTGAAGATTAATAGAGTACAGTGATTATCAATTAAATGAAGTCCCCAAGAAGGTGGGAGGTACAGTGATCATCCATCCCAGTTTGCCCAGCTGAGATGGAGGGGTTTAATAGAATGTGGGACGCTAAGTTTTAAAGCCAGGACAATCCTTGGCAAACAAGGACAGACTGGTCACCCTGGTGGGAGGGCATGGGATGCAAAGTACAGCGGCAGGCTGGACCCTGAAATGGGAGACAGCTCTTCCATGGAGGCAAAAAGAAGTAGGAGAGGAGGGGCACAGCTGCAGGGGAGTTTGTGGATTTTATGGCAGAATTTGATGGAGTCTCCCTCTTGTGACTTCTGACTTTTCTGAGAAGTAGGAGATGTGCTCACCCAAGGATAGTCAGCCTCATGTTTCATGTCCTGCTTTTGCTGCCAGGCCTGACATATAATAGGTGTTCAATAAAACTGATTGAAGAAATCAGTGAATGAATGAGGCCCCGGGTTGGGGCACTCCGTGGAGCAGACTCTGGAGAGAAGGCTCTGAGGAGATGAGGGTGCAGGAAGTTTATTGGGCAGTGCTCTTAGAATCAACACCTGTGGAAGGGATGGGAAGGAGGCAGGATTAAGAGAAGGGAGAAGGTGCACAAGAAGCTGTGAAGCTGTCAGGGTTCTTCAGAGTTGTCCTGAGTTTAAAGAGACCAGGCCTTTAAACCCCCCATGTTGATCAGACATTGGAAACAGGCTGTCCCAAGAAGCGGGGCAGGATTGGGCAAATCAGCAGGGGCAATTCCCTGAAGAGAGCTGGTAGCCCAGAGCATCTGCTGGCAGCACACCCAGTAGCTGGGTTATAGATCTTCAGTCCTTGAGGAGATGTGGGCAGGGCATCCTAGTGTCCCTCACAGGAGGTGGAAGTTCAGGAGGGTGAGAGATGTTTGAAATAGCTGCTATTATGGTAGAATGGTTCCTATGTGGCAGGCACAGCGTTAGGTCCTGAGGTAGCCAATGTCCTACTTGGAAGACGCTCTCAGTATGGTCTTGGAAACAGGCAGCTAACTGTTGGGGGAGTCCAGGAAGGCATCATGAAAGAATAAGCAATGAGCCTGGGCTTTGACTAACGAGCAGGTGTTCTGCAGGGTGTTGAAGGGCCCAGGGCCTGGCTGTGTGGGGTTGGGTACAGTGGCTCTGGGCAGGAGAGGTCTGTAACTCAGGCTGGGGCTCCTCACTCAGGGAGCAAAGGGGCTTATACATGGGGTCTGGGAAGGAAATCTAGAATTTTCACCATCTGGGAAGAGGCAGGACTCCTGCCCCTGCACAGGCTGGCCAGGCAGCAGGCATTATGGGAAAAGGGTGCCAGGTGACTTAGGGGAAGAGGCTGCTCTGGCTGGAAGGAGTGAGATCTCACCCTTCCCCTACTCCAGGGAATGGCCAGTTGAGAGGGCTGTTCCCAGAAAGGGTAAGCTGTATGATCTTGGTGAGTTAACTCATCTCCCTGTGCCTCAGTTTTCTCAGTCAAAAAATAAGTGTGATAATAGTAGCTACTTTGTAGGATCATTGTGAGGTTTAAATGAATGAGTATATGCAAAATTCTTAGAACAATGCCTAGTACATAACTCAGCTGTTGATACAGAGAGGGGAGTATATGCTGTTTCTCAGCTCCAATATTTCCCAAGCTCTTGGGCAAGAGAAGAGAAAACCCTCAGCAGCCTAGGTTCTACCCAACACCCCATCCCCAACAGCAACAGCTCAGAGTGGGCAGGTGCTCTGACTTTGGAGGAATATATGCTTGTAAAACCTTTCCAAATAGTATATAACTAAAAGGTGTAAGACTCCACTTGGACTGGCTCCTTCCCAGCTAATCCCTGTTCACAGTTTGGGAAGCTTTCCTTGCCCCTCTAATAGCACCATGTCCTGAATGTATCTGCACGATCCCTGTGGATATCTTGAAGCTCTGGGTGTTCTCTTATCCATTTCTGGATCCTCTACACCAGCTTAGGGCCTGGCCCATTGGAAGTGTGCAGTAATGTTGAAACAAACAAAGCAAGAAGACAGGTGGGCCTGGGCCTTGGAGGTATCCAAGTTGGAGGCCACAGAGCAGAAGGGTGGGAGAGCCCCACAGGAGATCAGAAGACTCAGTGGACTCCATTCTCATCACTTAGACCACATCCTGGGCACCCCAAGCCAGTCCATCGCTTAGTGCCCCACCCTCATCTTGGGGTTACCAGAGTGGACAAACAACCCAGGTGACTTCATCTTCAATGATCATCTTCACCATCCCAGGCAGTGAAATGCAACCAAAAGAATTTTAAATCATGAGGCTCAGGAGACTCAGGTGGCAATTATAATGCATTTGTATTTGCTTCATAACTTACAAAATAGATCTTCACCCACTGCCTCACAACAGCCCTTCAAACAGATATTTTTATTAGGCCTATTTTATAGAGGGAGAAGCTGAGGTTCAAAGAGAAGAGTCTTCTCCTGAAACACCGAGCATGGCCAGGACCTGAGCCCAGTTCTGTCTCCACATGCTGCATGTCTCCTGGGTCCTGCTGTCTCTGGTTCCAGCTCTGCCCTGAACCCACCTGAGCAAACCTGGGTTCCTCTCGAGGTCTCAATTTTTCCAGCTGTGTAATGCAAGTTGCCCATTCTGTGGCTTTTGGCTTTGATTCTCAGTTTTGGCAGATGGGAGCATGTGAGGAGCATGTGAAAAACATGGGGGACAGGTCGCCCACTGGTCCCTTTTCCCTCCAACCCCCAGCTGCCACCTCTCAGTAACCCTTCCACCCCCTCCCAGTTTCATACATGTGTAGACTTCTCACCTCCACTTTATTATCACCTCATTTGTACGATTTTAAGGTTTGTTACCTGGGAGGGAGTGAGGAGCTCACACCTCCAGTTCCGCTTTTCAAATATACCTTCATCACTTGTGAAAATAACCTTATTAACAGCATCTAACCTGTTACAGCTTATGGGGGCACTCAGATAAATAAATGCAGAAGGAACCAGGGCAAGGGAAACAGCACAGCTAGCTGGGGTAATACAGCCCCTGGACCTCTGGGATTTTCTCCCAGCTCTTGGGGGTCTTGGAGCTGTTGTCAGGGTCAGTAAAATGGATGTGAGACACAGAGTAGCCTTGAGCAATTGGCTGCCACCTCTGGACAGGGTCCTTGCCTCCTGTCTCCTCCTCTGGTGCTCAGAGATCTTCCGGGGAAACAGCTCCCATGCCTCCGCAGCACTCCTGTGTCCTGGACGCTTGTTGGGGATTGATTCTTAGGCAGCTCTCCCTCCGAGCAGTAAATGAAATATTGGTTACCAGGAGTGAGGTGGGAGGCAATTAACCCCTAGACCTCACCATGGCAGATGTGTTTGTAGCAAGCTGAAGTGGAGAGCTGAGCACACCTGCCTGGCCTTCCTGCAAAGTCATCCAATTAGGACAGCCCCCAGTGGTGGGCTCCTGCTGCCCCCTCTGACCCCAGTGGCCCCAAAAGGCAGGGCAGCACCAGCTCCCAGGGCTGGCAGCATACTGGGCACAGGAAGACCTGCCATTCCTTGTGTGTGTGAGCTCCAGGGGCACCTCCATCCTCACACCCCCCTGGCAGGGATATTATTCATTAATTAACCACATATCTTTCTAAAAGAGAGGCAGCCTAGAGAGGCTTCCTTCCTTCCTTCTTTCCTTCCTTCCCTCCTTTCCTACCCCCAGCCTTGCCCCCTGGAATGTTCCTGTGCCAGAAAAGCCCCTGCCTAAGGAGGAGGGGAGACACATGCCCTGCTTCCAAGAAGCCCCATTCTGAGGGGAGACATAGCCCCTATCCTCAGAGAGCCCCTACTTGGAGAGAGACAGAGTTTTCCTTCAGGGAACCCCCAGTCACAGGGTCTGGTCTGAGGAAGCCCTAGTTTAATAGAAAAGCAGTCTACCCTCAGAGCCGCCAGAAAGGAGAGCCACAGTCCCCAGTCTCAGTGGAGACGAACACCTTGCTCTCAACTTTGAGGACCCCTAGTCTGATGAGACAGAGGTTGTGCCTTCAGGAAGCTTCCCATTCCGAGACACAGTCCTTGCCCTTGGGCATCCCAAGTCTGAGGGGAAAAAGTAGACTTTGCTCTTAGGGAGATCCTGTCTGGGGAGACACTTCCTCAACAGGCTCCCTGGCAGCTGGGGTGCTGCCTGAGTGACAAGCATTTGGCAGCTGGCACTGCAGGACACCCCTGGTGCCTTGCAGAGGAAAAAAAAAAGTGTTTGGCTTCAGTCCAGTCCCAGTTGTGCGACAAACTTGCTGCATGACTATGGGCAAGTCACAAATTTTCTTCAGACTGTGATTTCCTCACCTGCAAAAATGGAGACTTTTAGACACATCTCTCAAAACAGCATGAGGATCATCAGGTCACCAGGAAGAAGAGAAAGCCAGGCAGCCATTCCGGGTGCTCCCTACAGAAATGATTAACATGCTTTTTATTGTAGCAGAGGTCCTAGATCAGTCCCTGTGGCCTCTGGGGAGGGGTTGGGAGCCCCCAGGTGTGGTGGCTAGATAATTCCAGGCCAGTGCAGCTATTAAAGAATCACAGGGAGCTGTGGGTGGCACTAGGGGATGGGCAGGAGGGAGCGCCTTCTAATCTAATCTATCTTCCCAAGGAAACTCTTGTTCCAGCCAGACCTGCCAGGGGTTTATTGGGTTTGTGGGGACCCGCAGATTTCAATCTCCAGACCCCACAGGGAAGAAACAAGCATTAAGCTAATTTTATTAAATGGCCACAGCTGGCAGTAGGAGGAAGTTGGGGAGAGAAGGGAGGATAAAGAAAGTCATTCAAGTCGGCCAGCCATGAAAAGGGTCCATACATGGGGCCTGACTGGGAGGGAGGCCACCCCCTCCTTCCTGTCTCTCCAGCTGAGCTGGCCGGGGAAGGGGAGGCCAGACGGGACCTTTCCTCAATGTAGGGCCTTGGGATTCTACAAGGGGCTCACCCCGTAGCTGCAGCCCAGGGCAGATGCTTGTAAGTACATCAAGCCTCTGCAGGGAAGGGGTGGGAGTGGAAGGGCCGGGCATGGCCTGGAAGGAGCTGTCTCAACACCACCCTTCCTCAGTTCTGCTTTGGAGATCCCAAATCTTTATGGAATATGGCCTACTGCCTAAGAGCATGGTCTTTGGTTCAAATACTGACATTTGCCCCTTCCTAGCTCTGTGACCCTGGCAAGTTTATTAATCACTCTGAGCTTCAGTTTCCTCACCAGAAATGGATAAAACAACAGCACCCTTGTTAAAGGGCTTGTGAGCATTTCTTGCCAATCTACCCCTCCCGAACACACATGTCCATGGGATAATATTTATAAAGTTCTTATATGGTGTCTGACACAGAGTGGATGCTCTCTAATATCAGCTATCATTTTTTTTAGGAATGCCCTAACTGTGTGACCATTATGGCCCCATTACAGGAAGTGAGGGTTAGTGTGTCATCCCCAAGGAGCAGGGCTTCTTGGATTCAAGTACAAGCACAGAATTTAGTGACTGTGTCACAAAGATGTTTAACCTCCCTGGAAGAAGAATAAAATCTACTAATCTGACCTCCCATGGCTCTTGGTTTGGGTGAGATGACATACCTGATAGTGTTTTGCAAACTTTAAAATGATGAGTAAATAATAAAAGCTATGTTTATTGAGCACAAATGTCATGTCTCTTTAATCCTCAGTCAAGTGAGATGGGTCTCTTCACCTACATTTTATAAATGAGACAACTGAGGCCAGAGGTGAAGTACTGGGGCCAAGGTCAACCAGCTTTCAATACAGAGTTTATCCCTTTCTTTGCTGTCACTGACCCAGACCTGAATCAGAGAGGAGTGACTTGTCCAGGATCACACAGGGTGGCACTGGATGCAGAACCTGAGTCTCCCAGTTTAAACCTTGCTGTGCCTTTGGAATGCTCATGACACTTTCAAGGATGAAGAAAACAGAACTTTTCCACCATGGATGATGATGGTGTAACTGGGCGGCTTCCCATTCCAGCTGCCCAGGCCCCCTTGGGGTGGACATTGGGCCCTTTCGCCCACCTCCTCCTGGAGCAGCACCGATTCTGGCACCCGGCATTACTCAGATCCACCGGGAGCTTCCAGCAGACCCCTTCTCAGTCCAGAAGAGGGCAGGGCTCAGGGCCTCTCCCGTAACTCCTCACCAGCAGCACAGACTCAAAGCAAGTGGGGTGGAAGTGTTTTTATTACAGCTTTGGTCAGACGGAGCGCAGCCGGACGGGGCTTTAGTGGGTGCTGGGAAGCTATCCAGCCTCTAGCCCACTCCTCCCCCAGGCTGCCACCCCGCAGCGCGGGCACAGCGCATCCGAGCGGGGAAGCGACACTGCCGAGACCTGTCCCCAGGCTGCGGTGGGCTGGGGGGCAGGGTGGGGAATAAACAGTTCTATTGTACAAATGTACAGCGCGGGCCGGGGCGGGGGCGCTCAACACCGCCTCCCGGGGACCGGGACGGAGGGCGCTGGACCCGGCTCTGCGGCAAGGCGGCGGGAGGGCCTAGCTGCGCCCTGTTGGTGCTGAGGGCGGGCCGGGGCGTCACAGCCGGGGAGAGCCGGCAGCGAGGGGAGCGGTCCGGGAGGGGAGCCCGCAGGGATAGGGCACGGAGAGGTGCGCGGGAAGCTCAATCGGAGTAGATGATGAAGCCGGAGAATGTACTGTATTTGTTGCTGTTACCGCCGTGCGCTTTGCCTCCGTCGAGCTTGATGAAGACCTCATCGCCCGCGTCCAGATGCAGGATCACGCTGTTGCTGGCGTAGTCGTAGTTCTGGTCTGCGTCCTGGGCAATGGCGCTGGCCCGCACCTGCGGGGTTGGGCGGTAGGGGAGTTAAGGGTGTGTGTGTGCGTGTGTGTGTGTGAGGGTAGAGGGGTGGGGAGAGAACTAGCGTCAGGGAAGGAGGTAAGGCAGCCAGCCACATGGGTGGTGGTGGTGGGGGCGGAAATCCAGAGACTTAAATCTCCACCTCCAGCCCTATCTGGGCTTTCACTTTGCTTCTCTCTCGGTTATCCCCCTCTTTCTGATCATAACTGTGTTTTGGGAGGGCGTCATAGAGGAGCCCTGGATTTTTAGAGCAGGTACAACCTGGGTCTAAGCTGGGAATCAAACTGGAGTTTTGCTCCTTAACTCTTTTATGTCTTACTGCTGGGCTGCTGAGGACGTGAGGACTGCTCTGGGATGTCCCAGCCTGCAACTCCCTCCTTGCAGAGAATAATTTTCTGTATCCCCAGGGAATGGAGGGCCATAGCTTCTCTCCTCACCATTCCTTCCTCTCTGCTTTAATTGTAACAATGATGCCTCACATTTCTGCCACAGTCACCTATTTTGATGTCAGTGGATGAAGCCCATAGGTCAGGTGGCTAGATCAATGCCAGGCTGTTAGTAAGCAACCACCCCAGTACCAAGGACCCAGTCTCTGGACTCTTTGTCTGAAGTTCATTCCAGAGTCTTTCACACTGGAGAAGTGAGATGGAAGGCCTGGTAATTATTTTCCCTCCTGAGGCTCAGATTGAGCCTGCGTGCTGGCGTCAAAGGAAATATATCTCTGTGACTATTAACCCATCCAAAGAAGGCTTCTGTCTCCTTGTGTCTCACTCCAAGGTGGCAGAAAGGAATTGGGTGGGAAGAAACGAATCCAGGCTTCACATCCCTCTGTGATCCTCAGTCTCATCTGATATCCTTGCTGGCTTCTTGCTTTGATTGGAGAGGGAAGGGTCAACAGGCAGTTCAACAGGGCAAGAAGGTGCCAGCATTTGGGTGTGAAGCCTGCTGTCACTTTTGGGGGCTCTGACTATGATCATAAGATATGGAGGGTGTGTGGTGGTGGACAAATTCCCTCTGGGCATTCCTCTCTAACAGCTGTGGCAATGCAAGGCCTGAGCCATAGGATCTGTATCCTGGGTGGAGAATGGAAGAGAGGAGCTATCTCCAAGGCTCTGGCTTCCACTGGGGGGAGGCTGCACTGAGCGAGGTTCTCTCAGCCAGGCTCTTCAACAGCCCATCTCCATCCTTCCCTTTCCTGAAGGCAGCTTCCCCAAAGGGCTGACAGTCTGGGACCAAGCCAGATTAGGGGAGGGGCCCATTCTTTCCAGGGCAGGGGTGGGGTGGGGGGTGGGGTGGCAGACCTGCGGGTCAGCCAAGCCAAACCAGCTGACTCAGCAGTAATGCTGCAACAGGAAAACCCAACGTATTTGCATGCAGCCTGCCATTTAAAGCCTAGATCCTTCCAGCCCCTTCTCTCTCCTCAACCTCTTTTTCCCCAGTCTGGGAAGGAACTGTTTGGGGGTACTTAGCTGGGAAAACTCACAGTCCCAATAAAGGTGGAGGGAAATCAAATGAGGGGAGACCCTGTCTGTCAAGGAGCTGTTTCTCTGTTTAGAAAATGGATGAGAAGATCTTGCCTCATCACTGCGACCTTTGTAAAAGCCTTTTGATGGTGAAGAAAAAAAAATTTGATGTTGATGGGTTTTGAGCTACTAGGAAAGAGCTCAAAGCAAGCAGCCAACTTCTGTATTGTTCCCTGGGCCCTAATCCTCGTAGTATTTATTGTTACGCATGCATTTCATTATCTCTGCTAATAAATTACTACTAATAACAATTATTTTTATTACCCAGATTAATTTAGCCTTAACTCATTAAAACAGTGAAACAGTGTGCTTCTTAATAGCCAAATCTATTAGAATACAGTCATCTGTCATCAGGAATCTCCTGGTGATGTGACAGGCATCAGAACTGTTATGCTTATGTTTATTATTTATTCATCACCATGATTGTCGCTGTGATTATTGTAATTATCCATGGAGGCAGGGAGAATTTATGCCCTTCCATCCTTAGACAGTAGGGGATCCAGGAACGAAACCCAGGGGTCCTGATTCTCTGCCCAAGACTGGAAACAGTTGAGGCATCCAGCTTCTCCTGGGGACCCAGGGAAGTTTGGGGAATTGAGGTTGCCATGGAAGCAGGAAAGCAAGTCTGGGACTTGTCACTAGGGGGAGCTGTAGAATCTCCTCCTCAAGACATGCCAGGAAGGGAAACTGAGGCAGAGGCCTGACCAGAGGCCTGAAAGGGGGAGGGAAGAGAACCCAGGAAACATGTCCCTGCCCTCAGATCAATGTGGGAGTCTTGGATGAGCAGGTAAGTGTGGGTCCCACAGGAAGCCAGGCTGGCCCATAGGGGACCCTTGTACTTTCACACATTTACTGGATCTCTATTGTGCCGGGTACTGTGTTCTATGCTGTGAAAGGCATTAGAGGCTAGAAAGAATAGCTGAGGGGCCCTTCTCCCACTATCAGGCAAGAGGCTGATCTCCAGTTAGGTCTTTATACCACAGTCCTCCTTTATACCCATCACCACCTCTCACCTCTCTCAGGCTCTGCTGTCCAAGCCCTTGCTCATTTGTAATATTCTCCTTCCTAAAGCCCCCTTCCCTGGCCTGTCCCCCCACAGCCCCCTCTCTCCCAGCCCAGTTGATCGATTTTGTGTCCTCCCTGATCCCTCTGAAGGGCGGATTTTAGAGGCAGCTGCAGGAAGCTCACCTCACCCAGGGCACCACCTCCAACCTCAAGGCTCTTCAGGTCTCTGTGTCCTAATGACCAGGGCTTGGTGCCATCAGGCTGTGCATGGTGACTCAGAGCTACCCTTAGGGAGGGGCTGGTGGGCCTCAGGCAAGGAAAGAGAGGGGCCTCAACACCAGGCAGAAGGCGGTGACTCCCCACTCCCCATCTTGCCCAGGGAAGGATCAGGGACCAGATTTAGCTCTGCTTTCCTGAGGAAATTCTGGAGGCCTCTCTGCAGGCAGGAAGCCAGGAAGGATAAGCACAGAGCCCAGGGTCACCTCTGGTCTTGAAGGCATGGGAGGTGCAAGCTCCTCTTCTGTTCCCTTCTATTGCCCAGACCTGTCATTTTTTTCTCTGCTCACTTGAGTTTCCTCTTCCACCTCTGAGCCAGGCTTTTCCTACACTTGACCTTTTTACTTTCTCTCTAGCAGTGTCCCCTCACCTTGGGGACCAGGGTTCATTATCCTCTTCCCTGACCAGACTGGTCAGAACAGGGGAAGGCCCCACTGAATCACTCCCTCCAGCCAACACATCTGGGGACAGGAGTTGCCATCTGGGCTCCTGGCCCTCCTCTAACACAGTCATGGCCAAGATGTATTATTGTGCAGTTACTACTGTCTCCCCTGCACAGGCCACAAGGTTCTGCAGAGCAAATGGATTAAAGCCCTGGTACCAATCCCCAAACCTGGCTCCTAGTAGGGGCTCAAAACTAATATGTGGAATGACTAGTGAGATTAAATGAGTCTCCTGGGAAATCTGGAAGGACAAGTCACAAAGGATGTGGGGGAGGGGGAGTCTACACCCACTATCTACCTTTTTTGGGGGGGGTAGAGTAACTGTTAAAATGCTGGGTCTTTAAAACCTTTCTTTAAAGCCACCTCCTTTTTTTTACTAGTCTGTGGTGCCACCTCTAGGGAGCACCTTTCTGTGGGGCTCTGCAAATGCCCTGCTTTGCTGGAGGGAAAAGAAGAGGATTTTGAGGTGATTTCACCTTTCAGTAACTGATAAAGCAAGTGACCCTGCCCCAAGCACACACCACCTTTGGCACCTCCTCCCTCTTGCCTCATGTCTAAGGCCCTGCTGCAACTTCCTGAGGTGGTACAGGGTCTAGGGCCCATGGGTGGCCTGGTGACCACGCCCCCTATCCAGGCAAGCAGGGCTCCCAACCCCCTGAAACCTCAGCCTGGTACCAGCCCAAACTTTCTTCAGGAAAGAAGAAACTCCATTGATGAAGGTGACATTGCTGCATCCCTTATTGGTGATTAATAAGGGGAATTGTGGGGCTGCCTGCAGAATGAGCCCTCACTGGATACTGGGGCCTCCCATTTGGTCAGGACCAAGGACAAAGAGGAGAGACACGGGAAGCCTGATAGACACAAGTGGGAGAGAGACACTAAAGGAATACAGAGGGGTGTTAAACCCAGGAGAGAGAGGCTAGAAACCCAGGGAGAGACATAGGACTGATAGACCCAGGGGAGAGACAGGGACGAGAGAGAGACAGTAGGAGAAAGATGCAGGCAAGAAGTGGAAACCAGAGAGAGAAGCAGGCAGGGTAGAGATAAGATGGGGCAGAGAGAAGACTGGGCAGACTTACAAGCACCTGGTAGATTTTGCTGACTCCCATGACTGCCCTGTCTCCCAGTGCCAAGCCAGGGTCTACCTCAGGGAATGCTGCAGTGGGAGGGGTTCCACCAGGGTCTTGGGTCTCAGTCACAGGAAATCCCTTCCCAACTCCTGCCAGCCTAGCTTAGGTCTGACCCATGCAGGTTCCCTTGTTCCTGCTCAGCCTGACTACCCCGAAGGTCCTAGGTGGTGGTGGTCTGAGAGCACTGGGAAGGGAGCGGGTATCAAAAGGGAAGGAAGCTGGGTAAAACTGCCATCCTGGGGCAGGGTTAGGTCAAGGTTGGTCCCAGGGCAGCAGATCCAAGGAGAACACCATGCACTGCGGTCCTGGTTTCCAGGACCCCTTGTGCTTGGTGCCTGCCAGATCCTGTCTCTGGGATGGGGATAGGGAGGGAAGAGGATCCTCTAACAAGACACTGCAGGAGCCAGGAATTGCAGCTGGGAGACCACCAGGAGGGGGAGTTCCTACCTCTTCACCCTGCCTCAGGAGGAAAAACTTTTCCCTCAAGGCTGCCTTCTTGTGCCTGTAGCTCTGACACACTGTGAAGGGGCCACGCAGTCCCCAGTTTTGTAAAGGCTGTCGAGTCGGCCCAGTGGTCCCTTCCCAAGGGTGGCGGATGTACTGCAGCTAAGGCATTGAACACTGGCTCCCTTTGCCTTTGTGCCCCAAACATCTACAACTTGCCTTGTCAGCTAGGGCGCGAAGCCGGGGTGCTGAGGCTGCCTTTCCCCAGAGCCCATCTTTGCTCTTCCTTAATCGCTGATATCAACCAGAATCCCTGCTCTCAGACGCCACTTTCCAAGGACCAAGCCCCTAGGGCCAGTCGGAGCCCCTGGGAGCCGTGTGCTCTGATTAGCTGGATTCATCTCCTGCATTTCCAAGCCGCGGGAGCCCAGCAGCGTCTGCCCCAGGAATCGAGGCGTGTCCGTGGGCCGCGATCATCCCCTCATGTTATGCTAAGCGGGACCGCTGTAGGGTCTCCATCAGCACCCGCTGGTACCATATGCCCCGGGCCCCCTGGGTGCCCTGCCCCCAGGCCAGCCCCTTGTCCCCGCCTGGCCCACCTGGCCGTTCTTGCAGAGGTCCGCCCACATACTGGTGCCGTCGCCGCCGCGCATGAGAACATGGTAGGTGAAAAAGTAGGTGCCAGGAATGTTGCACGTAAACTTGCCGCTGGTCGCGTCGTAGTTGTTGCCTAGATTGGTGACCACGTCGTCGAACTTGAGCACCTCGTAACCCTCGTGAGGGTTCTTGAGGCCAGCGTAGAAGGCCACGCGCGGAACCATGGTGTAGGTGGCTGTGCTGATGGCGCCGCTACCCCCTGCTCCCGGCAGCCCGGGAGGTCCGGTCTTGCCTGGCTCACCCTTCTCCCCCGGCGGCCCCATGGGGCCCGGAGGACCCGGATCCCCAGGGGGTCCTGGGGGGCCGGGTTTTCCTGTGCGGCCCGGCTTCCCCTGGGGGCCCTGCACCAGCGTGGAGGGCGGGGGCGCGCCGCTCTGCTCGCTCAGGGCGTCGCCGCCGTCGGGCCGCGCGCCGGCACCGGGGCCCCGCGCGGGGTAGGGGTCGCACACCATGCGGCAGGTGCCTAGCATCTCATAGTGGCCGTCCGGGCCGCCCGAGCTCACCAGCACGGGGATGAGGACCACCAGCACCAGCAGCATTACCACGCCCGCGGCGGCCGCCAGCAGCGTTTTCCGGCCGGCGCGGAGCCTGGGGAGCGCCGGCCCGCCCGGCCGCGCCGTCGGGGCAATGGTGCCGGCGGGAGGGGGGCGCGGGCTGGGCGCCCGCGCTCAAGAGTGGTCCGGCGGGGCTTCGGGCATGGGGCCGGGCCCGTGGCGCCGCGCTGCGCTGGACGCGCTGCCGAGCCCAGCCGCCAGCTCCTGCCTCGCGCCTCCCTCCCGCTGAGCGGCCGGACTGAGCGCGGCCGCTGCCGCCCGCCGCCTGGCCCTCCCGCCGCCCAGCGCGCGGGCCACAGTCCCCTCCGCCCCCTCCTCCCGCTCCTCCCCGCCCCACCTTGCTCACCGCCTCTGGGCGCCCGCGAGGGGTGGGGCTGAGGGCGGGACCGGCGTCTAATTGGGTTGCGGGCGGTAGGGCTCCGCCCAACTAGGGTCGGGCCCGGCGGGGGCGGGACCGCGGAGAACAGGGCCGCAGCTGGGAGAGGAAGAGGGTGGCTGCGGGAGCGAAAGACTGAGACTCGGGAAAAGGGAGGGAGCCAGAGTCTGAAAAACTGGAGAGGCTCCCCTAGGGAAGGGGAGAGTAAGGACCGAAGGGCGAATAGATGAGAGGGCCGTAGGGAGATCTGAAAAGCGCCGAGGAGCCCTGAAAGAGCAGAGGACACTCAGAGGGGCTGAGGGAGGCGCGAGGGGCCACTGCCCGCAGGGGGCGGAGGCGGGGGTGGAGTGGGTCTCTCTGGTCAGCTAGGAACAAAGAGCGATTGAGGGGTGTGGGAGTGAGGAGCAAGAAGGAACAAAAAGAGGGCACGGGGGGAGTAGAGGAGAGGCAAAAAGGAGGAAGGGGGGGGCTGTTCCACACTCAGGCCTCCGAGCCCTCCCGTCGGGAGACCCAGGGATCATATGCCTGTCAGGGTGCCCAGGGCACCTGTACGGACAGCAGCCTCCCCTCCTCTTTTATGTTCCCTGGATGTGCCTCCCCCCTGGAGGGGCAGAATCTTCTGCCCATTCCTCCTCTCTCTGCCCATTCCTCACCAAACTCCAGGCCAGACCAGGCTGTTTTTTCAGGGGGTGAGAGGGCGGCTTCCTCATCATTCCCCTTATCCCTGCTAATTTAGGCAAGGAAGAGATAGGAGCCCTAAGAAAGTGGGCACCCCCACGTTATTTCTCCATCTGACCAGGACAGACATGTCCCTAGTGGTGACCCCCTTCCCCAGTCTCCATGAGGAGGGATTGATCTCACCCAGCCCTTCAGCTCCTCCTTCCCCCACCCGCTCGGCAGCCCCTAACTCTTCTCCCCGTCAGGTTGCAGGAGGCTCTCGTTTTCCTCAAGTGCAGTAAAGTGTTTAGGCTGCAGAAACTAAAATGTGTCTGCTTCCATCAAAATATTTGTCACCTTATTGGAGTCCCAGCTTGTGCTGTCCCACTGCTCCCTCACCCTCCTCTGTCTAGCCCATCAGGGAGGGTTCTGCCATTCGGAGGCCTCCAGACTTGGCCAACGGGTGACCCTCCAGCCTCTTTCCTTTTCCTGTGAAGACCCCTCTCAACTCACACTCTCCCCCTGCTGATCCCACCGGATCCTTAAGATTCTCTGGCTTTCTCTCTCCAAGGTTCAGACTGCTTAACCCCACCCACAGTGGGAGGAGGAACGGGACAGGAGGACATCAAACGGAGGCTGTGAGGAAGGGCCTTCAACCACTGATGGCTTAGCCTGGGTGGGAGTGACCCCCACCACCGAGGAAAGAGTCTAAAAAATCCTATCATTTATTCAGGACTTGCTGTGTTACACCAGGCCTGTGTTGAATACTTTACATACATGATCACTCTTGATCTTTGCACCTATCTGAAGAGGTAAAGCCCGTCATTATTCCCATTTTACAGATGGAGACTGAAGCTCTGGCAAGTTAAGAGATTTGTCCAAAGTCACGCACCTATGTGGTATACACAACTACCACACAATCAGTGGTAGATCCGGATTTAAACCTGCAGTCTGACTCCACCTCCTCCAACCTCCAGGAGATTAGGTCTCTAGGTACTGTTCACTGGGCAAAGGAATGCTAAGTGCAGGGTTGGGGGCGCTCCCAGCAGCTAGACTTCCGCAGGCTCAAGAAGCGCAGTCCTCTGCTCTTGGCTTTCAGTGCGGCCTCCTGTCCTCCCTCCATCGCTGTCTCCCCCAGTATGACTCCGAGAAGAGCGACAGGGCTGGTGACCCGAGGGACAAGTGTGCGGTCATTAGCGTATGATTTGCTCAAGCACCCCTCCCCTAGTCCACACGCACTGGAGTCTCTCCTCCACTAAGCCGCTGGGGCAGGTCCGCCATCCGCAACCCGCCCAGAACCCGCCTGGGAAACTGCGGCTAGTCGCCGCCGGGGGCAGCCCAGGGGGCGGGAGCACAACGCCCGCCCGGGCCTCCGAGAGACGCGCTCGGCTCGGCACGGCGGCATGTCCCCCGCCCCGAAGGAACGCCCGCTCCCTGGCGCGGTGTGGCGTCTCTGTCAGCCCAGCCGGATTCTCCCCGCTTCGCTGGAGTGGAAAATAACGGCTTCAAACTTTGCCGAGAGGAGCTGGTGCCAGCACTTTAATTAACAACCATCGTGGCCTGTGAGCCAGGGCGACCCGCTCCCCGCCTCCCCATCTCCCACTACTCGCCAGGCCCCGTCCCGGTCCCGCCCAGATCCCCAAAGGAGCTGAAGCCCCGCGGAGGCACTCGGGCACCCCTTTTCACTGCGATCGACGTGAGGGCCTGGCTTTTAGGGGAGAGGATGCTGCCTCCTGGGGGAGCGTCTCCCCAGCCTAATATATGAGGACCGCCGCCCACCCAAATGCTCTGAATCCTGGCGGTTGAAGATTCCAGAATTGAAGACCTGCTTGCCAATCCCAGCTGGCGATTTTAGGCTAATCTAATCTGCAGTGCCCCAAGTGTCCTCCTCTGGAAAAAGGGTTGTTGTGAGGATTAAATGCGATACAATGTATGGAAAGTGCTGGGTTCAGTATCAGACCCTTATTATGCATCCACTAAATGGTGGCTAATATAATCATTTCAGCTCAAGACTAAGAAAGCCCGTCCACCAGGCCGTGGCTCTCTTCTCCTGCCTTCTTCCTACAGTTGCTGTGTTTGGCACTAGCAGAGGAGGACCTATACTTCTAGGTTCAGAGACAAGACTAGATGAGTGAGGAGGGAGCCCTGGCCCCCAGGCCTCTTCTGCCAGAAGGGGAAAGAGGCGAGCCCCGGGCAAGGGAGGCAGGGCAGCACTATTATCGGTAGCTAGCTGGCAGCCAGTGCAGGGGCCAAAGGTCCAGCTTTGCTTTCCCTCCTGTGAGTGGGCACTCCCTCACTCCACAGCTGCTGTCATTCCAGGGCTGGGGAGGGGTGCTGGGCCTTGCGGTGTGCGGAGGGTGCAAGTGGACAAGGCTCTTCATTTATGCATGGCTGACTCTAGGAACCTGGGTAGCGGTTCTGCAGTGTTTTGGGGTTCTTTGAGTGAAAGTGAGTGCGTGTGGATGTGTAAGAGATTGTGTTAGTGTGTGTCTGGGTTTGTGAATGATGAAAGGGGATGCTGCACCCCAGCTCTTCAACTGGCAAATCTACATTCATGTATTCATTTGAGTGTGAATAAACACTACTGAAAACACCTACCTAGGCACTGTGAGATGTAGTGGTGGTGTGTCCAAAAATGAGTAAGATCTAAATAGTACCCCAGAGGAGCACAGTCTTTGGCAAGGGACACAGGCAGGAAGCAAAGATAAATGCTATGATAATTGTTAACATTTTTTTATTAATGTTTTTTGAATACCAACTAAATGCACATCTTGTTCTAAGCACTTTATGTGGATTATCTCATTGAAATTTAACAACCTATTATTATGGATTTAAAACTATTACATGGCTCATATCACTTAATATCAATAATCCCATAAGGTAGACAGTATTATTTTTCCCATTTTAGAGCTGAGAAAGCTAAGGCTTGGGGAGAGGTTTGCACTAGGTGTTACGAAGCACAGATGAAACATTCCCCGCCCAGAGGACTCCAGGAAGTCTTTACAGGGAGGTGTCATTTTTCCTCCTATCTATCCACCTATTTATCCATTCCCCCATCCATTCTATAAGCCCATATTAATTGACTGTCCACCGCATCTCTCGTTATCACAGGGCACAGTGATGAGCATTTAAAGGCTTCTGACCTTGTGCAGTCTACAGTGCATGGCAGGAACCTAGACAATTAAACAAGCAACTGCTATCTAGCTTGACAAGGTACAGGAATATGTAGGGTGCTATAGGAGTACACAGAAGTGTTGCCTAAATTCATCTGAAGGGAGAGAATTATGGGAAACTTCCTGGAGGAGGTAGTATTTAAGGTATGTCCCTGATGAGGGGATGGCAACATGAAGAGAATGGCCACCAGAGACGGAGGGATGGAGGATTATTTCAGGCAGCAGGAACAGCATGTCCTAAGGACAATGTTGCAGGGCCTTGTAGGCTGTGACAAGAAGTACATAATTAATCCTAAAGGCAATTAGAAACTACTGAAGGGTGTTGAGTGAGTGATATGATCAGATTTTTCAGATTAGAAGGCTCACTCTGGCTACTGTGGGGAGGAGGGGTTATTAAAATGGAGTAAGAGTGTCTCACAGGCATATTAGGTAGGAGGTATTTGTAGTGGTCCAGGTGAGAGCTGATAGTGGCCTGATCTGGATGGGATGGGGTAGGGTATGGAGAAGGTAACTTCCAGGTTTCTGGAATGACTTTGAAATGTTTATGAAATGAATGAAGGGTGGATGAATATTTTTGCCATAACCTAGGTACCAATACATGCCATGGAACTTCATATACTCTTTCATTTAATCCTCACTGGAAGTCTAAGCAATAAGCATTATTATCTTCACATTGGAGATGAGGCTGCCGAGGCTCAGAGAGGTTAAGTAACTTGCCTGGGATCACACAGCTGGTAAGAGATAGTCTGAATTAGAACTCTGGTCTGTTTGATCCTAGGTGGGGGCTCTTTACCACTCAGCCCAGAAGGTACATACATGGTAGGGAAAGCAAGAAAAGACACTTTAGGGAGAAAGAGCAGCTTGGGTCAAGGCCCCATTGTATAAAAGGCATATTTTTGGGTTTTAGTTAAAGCCACTGGTCTATACCCTGGCTTGGGCAGGATGGAGAGCTGGACACCAAGAGGCAGAGACAGCTCTCAAGACCTGATTAGGCTACCAGCTTATCATGTGTGTTTGGGGAAGTCTCATCACATTTTAAGGCTTCCATTTCTTTCTCTGGGCAGGAGAATTGC